CCTTCACCTTTAATAGAGTCTGGGGACCAAACTCAGAATGTCAGGACTAGAGAGACAAGTATCTCTACCTGCTGAAATGTCTTACTGGCATGAATATCTTCTTTATTTTAAACTATTTCCTCTTTAAAAAAAATTTATTTATAATATACACATGTTCTGCCTGCACGTATGTCTGCAGACCAGAAGAGGGCACTAGATCCTATTATAGACAGTGAGCCACCCTGTGGTTGCTGGGAATTGAACTCAGGACTTCTGGAAGAGCAGCCAGTGCTCTTAACCTCTGAGCCATCTCCTCAGCCCTAAAATATTTCTTACAGGGGCTGGAGAGATGGCTTAGTGAATAAGAATGCTTGCTGCACAATCATGCAGACATGTGTAGTGTAAAAATTCTAGCATGGCCAGTCCTACCGTTAACCCTAGCACCAAAGGGTGGGGACACCGACAAGAGGATTGGGAAGCTTGCTGTATTCCAGCATAGCTCCAGGTTCAGTGAGAACCCTGTCTCAATGGAAGAAGGCAGAAAGGACACCCAGTGTCCTCTTGCTCGGCTTGCTTGCACACCCACATGTAAAGGTGCACATATACAATACATACACATATTCATACACAAATGTTATATATAATCTGTATGTAACCTTTGAATTCTAACAGGCAATGTATAATATCTAAGGAAAAATAACTTTAAAAATCTGGAGACACCGATATGTAACTGGCCATCTTGCCTGAGACCACAGGATTAGAGGCCTTGACCTGGGGCTACAGAACAGGTGACCTGTCTTTGCCTTGCTTGGAGGTGAGGGGCTGTACCCCTTCTCAACAGGCAGGAGCAAGCAGTAGTGTGCCTGCCCTTGCTTTCCACCCAGATGCCCTATGGACAGGTGGTCCCCTGCATATGAAGACGGTTTACACTCGGGGGCCTCCTGCCACTCATGACAGTGTCCTGGGAAAGAATTCTGGGGCGAGGGAAGTGAGCAGAGGACAGCACTCAGGAGTCTTCCCAGAGAGGAGACACAGGGCAGACAGAAGGTGGTTTGCCCTGGCTGTCCCTGTTGGAAGGAAAGATGGAGGTGGCTGAGGAGGGCAACGGGAGGAGTGGGCAGGTAGAAGCCTGCAAGGGAGCCAGGGAGGGGTCCTGGATGGGGAGGAGGCCCAGGGCAGAAGGAGCAGGAGGGCCCTGGAAGGCAGGGATTGCGAGTGGGAGGTTCTCCACTCTGAGCTGTCTGCTCCTCCAAGCTTTGCGTGGTGCTCTGTGTCATCGCTTGCTCCCTCCCTCCAATCCTGGTCTTTTAGAAGGCCATGGTCAGTTTCAGAAGACCACACAGGATCCCAGATCCGCTTCAGTCCCAGGATGACAGGACAGTTTTGTTTCTGTTGCTGTAAATCTAGGGTGGCCCACTGGGCATTGGTTGGAGGCTCCACCAATCACATCAAAGGTGGGAGGAGCTTCTTGCCTTCATTCCAGCATACTCGAAGGGGGAACGGAGTTAAATGGCTACGACAGCCTCCAAGACCTAAAAAAGAGCCACTTCGCGGGGCCCTGTGTCACCATGGGGCTATCTCCTGAGGACAAGTCCCCTCTGTGAAGTTTCAGCAGACCTGGGAAGGCCTGGTCCACCAAGGGCCCTGCTTGGGCCCAGCCTGGAGACCTGGTCTGTCCTTGCTCTGTTCTCCAAGTCTTCTCAGTGTCCTGCCTTGCAGAAAAGACAGCCCAGGGAACAGGCTGAGATGGCTCTGCACCTCCTTCTGTAAGCTCAGTCAGGAACCACCTACACCAAGTTTGCACAGCTCTTGGGTCACCGGCCTGTGACCAGGGAGAGCACGGCACCTACCTCTCACAGCCTCGAGCAGGATCCTACCCAGGTTCCTGCTCCGTAGCACCTTGCAACTATGGGATCCCACTTCCTTAGGGACCCGCGCCCCCAGAGCTCCATTCCCATGGGACCTCGCTCCCATGGGTCTCTACTATAGGGTCCCGCTCTCAGAGAAGGAGACTCCTAAAGGTCCTGTCCCCACTGTACCTGCTCTCATAAGAGCCCCGCTCCCACATGGTCTTTCCCCCAGCTCCACCCCTCTGCATGGGAGGTCCCTTTGGAATACCCCCAGCATGTCCTACCTGGCCCGGGTGTTCCGAGGCCTTTCCCTCTCCCTCTGACCAGCTCTGTGTTCCAACAGTGAATAGTGTTTATGCTTCACTGTTTTCAGCACGTGAGAGGGCTATGGAGCTGCCTGGGGGCCTTCGGGCCAGACCATGGGCAAGAAGCTGTGGAAACCAGATCCAGACATGCCCCCTGCCTAGAACAAGGTGTCCTTTGGCATGAAGAACAGATTAGGGTGGATGTGGGCGGACTTCTGACCCGCTTGTGGGGACACCAAGAGCAGGTGTCTGGAGTCACAAGATGGCCCCAGCTGGACCCAGCAGGCTTTCTTTTCCTTGGCTGGGACCCAGGAGACCCTGGCAGGTGTTTAGGGTCTGAGGACTACAATACCCTAGGTCAGCCCTGCCCTCCCTCCACACCCACCTGGCCCTGCCGCACTTCCCGAAGAGGAGCATTGGCCAGGGGGGGCATGAAGAAACGGGTTTCTGTGCAAGTTTCACCAATATCGTTCTTCAGTCAGGCCTTGTCCCTCTGGAGCCTGGTCACTGCTGGGATGGGCCCTTGGTGGGCTCTGTGGCTGACTCTCACCTTTCCCCAAATCCTGGAGGGCCAAATTCCAAGCAAGCTTCAAGGCTTTCCTGAGCTGACTAGCTTCCACAATGACCAGGTACAGGGCTTTCAAAGGAAAAGACGCAGGTTGCAGCTGGCTAGGGTCCCGGCTTTTGGAGGGAGGGTGTATGCAGGCCCATAGGCACTGCACTGGGAGGCCAGGGTAGAACCTGAACCCGGAGTTCCAGAGTGAGCCCATGACCTCCCCCAGAAAAGGGCCTAGCTCCATCTTACTGTCTGTGTTGGCACTAATCAGTCCCTCTGTGAAAGAACACAAATGGAGATTTGGGAAGACCACCTGGCTACTGACGAAGGTCACCCTCTACCTGCTAGATTAAAAGCAGCTGCAGGGTTCTCCCAGTGTTGTTGATGAGGAGGGTCCTTGCTGACTGTGTGCTGCCCAGGGTAGCGGGGGAAACGGCTAGCTATGCCTATCGCCAGCCATGCAGTTTCAGGGGGAATGGTTTGTCCTCGGTCTGGCGGGCAACACCTACAAGAGAGAGCACCGGACCCTGCTCAGCCCCTACATCGCATTGTTCGAGCTGAAAAACAACAGCTATTTTCAGGTGACCAACACCATGACTCGGTGAGTGGGGTGTCTTTCCTGTCCCAGCAGTCAAGGACTTGGGGCTGCGTCCCAGGAACCTTGCATGGCCCAGCCACACTGTGGGGTGAGGAAAGACATCTAGTGATCATGTCTAGTACAGCCTGCTTCATGACCATTGCTAAAGGCCAACCCAGTGAAGGGCTGGCTGTCAGAGGAGAGGCATTGGGGGAGGCACTCTGGAGACGGAGGGCTAATGGGTTTTCAGTACTCTTGTGTGGTCAGGGACCTATCTCTCTCCCTGTCTTGGTTCTCTCTGTCCTGTCTTGCTCTCCTGGGTAGGTTCTGCTTCGAAAGTCTTAACAGTGGCAAGAAGCCCCCTACTTGAAGTCTGTTTGTGGCCCTTTCTGGAGATTGTTGGATTGGGTGCCAGAGGAGGCTAGCTCCTGATCCCCAGAAGCTTTCTTTTTGGCATGACGAGCTCCTGCGGATTTGAGGACCAGTGCTGGGTGGAGCAGGAGTTGCTCTTATGGCACCGAGCCAGGTTTCTCCGAAGGGAAGAGCAACTGAAAGGACTCCAGAGCTGAGGCTGGGGAGTCTGGAGGGCTCCCGCGCTATGCGTCCTGGGGTGTAGGCCTCTTCAAATAAATAGCTGATTGTGTGTGTGTGTGTGTTACACCAGGGTGGGCCTGGCTGGCTCCCTTAGCCCTCTGCCCACCCCTGCTCCTGCCCTTGCCTCCCCCTCCCACAGGGGCAAGCGCTGTGACGCTTGGTCCTATGCTCTGATCCCAACAACCAAGCCTGGGCAGTTCACCGTGGAGAACAAAGGTGAGCGTGGCATGAGTGGGGAGGGCACCGCTGCCTTGGGGACCTCACATGTGTGTTCCTCGGGGTCAGAGACTGGAGCAGACAGAGAAGACATACACGTCATCGAGACAGACTACACCAACTTCGCCCTGGTACTGTCCCTCAGACAAACAAGCAGCCTGACCATCATCAGGGTCAACCTTCTGGGTGAGCCCCCGCTTGCAGAAGCCTGGTCAGGGTGGTGCTGTCTGGGTTGGGGGATGGCTTGGGGACAAATGCCTCACCACCACCAAGTGCTGAGAGCCTTGCTGTGCTCCTCTGGCCACAGGTAGAAAATGGAGGCTTCCTCATAAGCCAATAGACAGGTTTGTCTGCCTGGCCAGAACCCAGAACCTCACAAAGAACAACTTCATCTTCCCCGATGTGACCGGTAATGGGTTTGCAGCAGTGGATGATGGGAAGGGGGATGGGATCTGGGGACGATGGTGGCACCTTCCCCAGCCTTCACAAGTCCAGTGCCTATCCTCAGAGGGCAAGTGCTTGCTACAGAGTTGTTCAGCCTGAATCAGCAGGGAGGTGCTCATGGCTCATGCTCTTATCTGAATCCCAGGCCACTTCCTCCCAACCCTGTGTCACTGTCCCAGGCTGCCCCCTCCTGGCCCTGGTTCTGTCCCGGGAGGATAGTTCCCTGCTCACAGGAGACTGGAATTCATCCAGGGAAGTCCTTGAATTTGGTCAGCCTCTTTCTGGCAGGAAAGTCTCCGGGAGCCCAAGGCCAAGGGGCTTCAGGGCTGAGCCCTGTCTTCAGCCTCACTCCTCTCAAGGATGGATCAGGATCCCCTCAACTCCCGCCCTGTCCAAGGACCTTCCCCATCATGCCTCTCCATGCATACCTGCCTAGTCACATTTGCACACCAAGCACATGCCTACAATCATGCAGACAGGCACATGCTCACACACACACACACACACACACACACACACACACACACACACTCCTCTTCCTTATCCACCATCCCAACACTGTCCCTCCCCACCCCGTCAGGCTGGACACCTGATCCAAATGTCTGCTGAAGAAGGCAAGGGTTCCTGCCGTAGAGCCTCGCCCTGCTTCTGCTCTCAACACAAATAAACACGCTGCCCATGACTCCAGGATGTGACCATTGTGACCGTGGGGTGGGTGAGAAGCAAGAACAGAGGCTCTGACCTTGCAGGGCAATGATGATCGTGCTCTGAGCCACCCCAAACTGGCTTCTCAGCCCCCACAACTAGACTCCTCCCACTCCTCCCTTGCTGGCCAGCTGTCTCAGATCACAGGCCGTACCTCTACCTAGCAGAGCCCTGGGGCCAACACGGTGAGCTGTGGTAGGCTCAGGGCATGCCCCTGGAGCGCTGGGTCAGGTGGCAGGCAGGAACAGTCAGAGCTCCAGAGCAGAAGGAAGCCGATGCCCCAGGCTGGGGAAGGAACAGGGTATGCCTTCTTCCTCTGGGATGTGGAGACAAACATTGCTAGGCCTGACAGCTGTTTAAAAATGGAGATGCATACAGGGTCCAAAGCAGTGGGCCCAGAACCTAAGCACTCCAGCTCCAAACGCACCCCTGAAAGAGGTTGTCCGCACAATGTGCACCTTCCCCAGTCCACAGCTGCTGCGTGGCCCCACCCTCATCTAAGCCTTTCTCAGCCCCAGGAGACAAACAGAGCAGGCAATGGCCCAAAGCCATCCGTGGAGATGGCTATAAAATCTGTGGCCTTGATAGAGAGCAAATAGCACACAGAGATAGCCCACTGCTTGGGAGGGTGGCGCCAGGCTTGTGGGGTGGAAGTGTGCAGAATCCCCCTGATGGTAGACCTTCCCCATCCCCTGGGCAGGGGTGTATGGCCTCATGCCCACTTCCTTCCTATTGAGCAAGTTGTACAGAAGCCAAGCACATTCTGGAACTGGGCTGGGCTATGGCAGAAACAGACCTGAAGCCTTTCCTGATAATACCTGTAAGACCAACCCCCCTTCTAGTCTCAGGGAATTCCACATGTAGAGCCCGAGGGTACGATTCAGCATTCAGTTGTGCATCTGACCTCCCAGATCAAACTCTACAAGGGAGACAAGGTCTCTTTTATCCAAAATTGTGTCCCAGATATATCCAAGATGGCACCCTTCACGGGGAACATGACAGACATCTGTCCTACTGTGTGACTGGTCAACCGGTAACTGCAGGATGGTAGATGGGTAAATGAATGGGTTTGTAGGTGGATAGGTGCATGAATGGATAGCCAGGATCTCAGATGATCACTCAGGAAGGAGAGAGTGAGCTGAGCACCGTCATCCACCACCCCAGGCCATCCTTCTGGGGATTCAGTGCGATCAGCTGCCTCAGGTTCCTGCTGCTGTTCTTCCTCACTGTTATGGATGTGTTCCCTGAGCCGGGAGCTGAGGTAACCATCTCCTCAGTTAAGCTGCTTCATGTCCACTCTGTCGTCTAAATGAGAAAGGCACACCAAACGCTAGAGCAGGCTTAGCCCCCATTTCTATCAACCAAGCTCTCCTCGTAGTGAAGGGAGTCTGACTATCATGTGACATCAGGGACAGGTGTCAGAAGAGCCACCCATGTGTCCATGCTGGGTTCCAACCCACTAGAGCCTGATCTCGCTGGGATGCAGTGGCAGAGGGTGCTGAGTACAGACGTAAGAGCAGCGTGGGTGCTTATGTTCTCGTCCTAGAACCGAGTCCACGGGATACATGGCCACAGAGCTCCAAGACGGCTCTGGCTCCTGACACAGAGAATTCCCCTTTGTAGCTACACATCCTTGAAGCTGTGGTGAGGCTGCTCTTTCCATATTAGGAACCGAGGCACCAGCACCTTCTCCAACGCATGCACTAGCAGAAGGTCTGACCCTCCAAAGACCTGACTCTATTGCAATACCATTTGCATGTGTGGTTTTCACACTTCCTTTTGTAGGAATCAGGCAGAGAAAATGCCCTAAAAAGAGATAGATTCCACCATGATTTGTTAGGAAAACAGCTGCTTACAACAATATGCTACTTACCTCAGAAGTATTAAAAACAAACAGACAAACAAAACCAAACTTTAAAATCCACACACAGGCTCCGCTAGACAGCTCTCATCTCCTGGCAGCAGCAGCCCAGTCCAGGATGTCTCCTTAAAAATATCCTTTTGTGTAAACTAAAGAATGAGGGTCTCCATTAGCAGGTAGACTAGCCTAGCCCTTGGCCATGGATTGCACAAAGAACAGAGGAAGAAGCCCCTGAGGAGCTGAAGCGACAGAACTTAGACGTAATGAGGATGGGAATCTGGAGAAGTAGGGAGGTGAAGAAAGATGGGGTAAGATGGAGGAAGGAGAGAAGAAGGGTGGCCACACAACAGCCTGTCTGTCACTGAGGGCCACAGCCTGGTACCACCGCCACAGACAGAGCCCTGAGCGGTGTGTGTGTGTGTGTGTGTGTGTTGCACGGCTCTCTAACCACCTCCCTCTGAGGCACACATTTGAACAGCCACAGACCTTTAACTACAGAGAGAGGCAGTGATCCCTCACAGAGTTGGGGGGTTCATGCATTGGCCTGTATCCCCAACTGATTCCACATCAGGAGACAATGCGTAGGGCTGGGCACAGTGGATGGCACGCGGAAGCCACAGGAACTGCTCGGCCTCGTCTTTGTAACCTGCATTTTACATTCTTTTCCTCTCAAACTCAGCTCCACTCAGCATTTTGGGGAGAAGGGAGGCTGCAGGCCAGCCTCTAAGTTAGTTCATAAGTCCCCTGGCCCAGCTGGAGCCCAGCGGCCCTGCTTCGTGCTGAGGCTGGAGCCAGGGCCTCAGGGCCTCACACGTCCTAGGCGTGTGCTCGGTACGGAGTTACTCCTTAACCCCTTGTAAGGTCCTCACTTCCAGAAGACCTCACCTTCGCTGACCTTAAATTTGGGTTGCTGGTGTCCCATAACCTTCACTAGTAGGTATGGAAGTACAAAAGGTGCCCCGGGGACCCCCAGTTACCAGGGAGCTTCCTATTCTGAAGCAGAAACTCAACTTCCTCTCGGAGATGAGAGACGACTCCCTCTAGCCAAGACAGTAACCCCTCTTTCTGCTGGTCAGCCCAGCGGTATGAAGACCCCAAACAGTCATATGGGGTCTTCACACCCCTGTGTACTCAGGGAAAGCTGGCTGACCAGACAGGAAACAAACTCTTGTGAGTGAGTGATTGGGTGGGAGGGTCTTTCCACACCAGTTGGCTCCCCAACTCGTGGAATCCAGCAGTGGGGAGACAACATTTAACCATCCCCCCACTCTAAAAACAGAGCAGCCAGGCTCTCTATGCCCATGTATCTCCAGGACAGCCTCTGGCAAGATGGGGTGTCACAGCCAGAGCCCCCTGCACTTGTCTGTGCAGTCTTGGAAGATTGGAGCAATGTTGTGCAGAGTGCACGTTGGCTTGATGCCTCAGCCTGCTTGCTCCTCCCCACTGGGCCCGCCACACCCTTCCTAATCATGGCTATGAGGACACAGGCAAAGCAGAGTCCCACTCCCATCCAAGTATGGAGGGCCCATGTTTGTGAGATGCAAGAGGGAAACCCTCTCCCCTTCTGTTTCTCTCAGGTTTCCGGGGGTCAGTACAGGTGAGTGTGCAGGGGCTAGGATGCAGCCAAAGTCATGCAGGGGTCAGTGTGCAAGAGGTGGGGTGTACCAGCCGGCAAGTAGTGGTCAGAGGGCAGGGGGTACTGCAAGATTGGCGTGGGGGTCAGAGGTTAACACACATGGGTCAGTGTGGGTGTTGGAACAAGGTTGGAATTCTTGGCTAGATGTGGGGTGGGAATGGGGGCTTGTGCGCTGCTCCCCAAATAAGGGTGGGCTCCTTCTAGGCTTCACCTCTAGACCCTGCGACACATACAGCTGCCTAGTTCTCCCTGGGAAAACACACCCAGCCGGTATGCCCTGCCGAGTAGCCAGATAAGTCTCTTTACTTAGGCCTCTAAGCAGCGCCTCCCACCACCACCTGGGCCTGCTGGGCCTGGACCAGCCTGCTGGGCTTCAGGGCTGAGCCTGCGGTTTGCTGGAAGGGAAATAGGGTCAGCTGGACGAGCACCAGGCCTGTGAGCGGCCCCTCCCGTTGCCACCTGGACCTGCTGGGCTCCAGGGCTGAGTCTGCAGGTTCCTGGAGGTGGAAGTGAGCAGCAAGTCAGGAGACCCGGCCTGTGAGAGACCTGACCCTCCCTGAGGAGGGTTCTACATTATCCCTTCCTGCTGGGTCCTAAGACCCACAGGCCCTCCAGATCTTACATCTACCCCTTCCGGGGGGGGGGGGGGGACACACTGCTTACTGCTTTCCCCAGTACTACCCTTGCCCTGCCCCCACTGCATTCCTCTTAGAGTTATCACACATGTCACACCTCGTGAAGCTCCCTGGGGACATCCACAGGATCAGGACACACGTGCTGCTGGCATGATCGAAGGGTCCCTCTGCCCTTTTTGGTCTGTGGGGAAGGATAAAGATAAGCCAGCTCGCACCCAGGCCTCTGCGTACATGAGACATATCTCCACCATGCTTAAAATGGGTGGCTTGGTGATCTAATCCTAACCCTTCGGGCTGTTCATGTATGGGGTGGGAGCCGTGGAGGAAGTAGGTCCCTAACTTAACCAATGACGGGGACAGCCCTTCCTCCCCCTAGATTGGGCAGGGATCCTTCATCCTTCAGCAGGCATCAGATAGGAAACGCTGGGAAGCTGGAAGTTTGGGTAGAGAAACAGAGGAGGGGGCTCAGGCTTGGAAGAACATGGGGCCAGGCAGGCTGAAGCAGGCCAGAGAGGAGGGTTGGGAGGATGGGTGTCACGGCCACCCTCGACCCGCAAGGATGACGCGACCACCGGAGCTCTTCTCACTGCAGT